TGGAAATCTTCATGTATGTAAATCTACTCTAAAGCCTGGAAAGGTAAAATACTCAATCTCTCTTGTAGCTACGGATGGCCAAGTGATGTGATTCTCACTGTAAATTTAGGTAGAATTTCAAGAGGTTCTCTTCCCAAATTAAAAAAAAAATGGCACAGCCTTTTTAGGAGAAATCCCTTTGCCCTTTACACATTTTTACACATCTAGAGCAGCCATCTTTGGAATGGGAGGCAATTAAAATGGGAATGAGGTCCTTCAATCTGATCATTTAACAGATAACTGACTGCATTCTGCATGCTTGGTTCTGGCCACCATCCTTTCACTAATGCTATGAAAGACCGCTCGACAATCTCTGAAGATGCACTGCACTGCTGACTCACAAGCAACATTTGGTCAATGAACATCTCTAAATAGGACACTGCCAAAGTTACAGCCCACATAGGAACTTTCCATTGCTCTTTGGTATCTTTAGGTTTTACAGTTCTCATGTGAAATAAGGAAGTTGGATCCACTGATGTCTAGATTTCTGCTGTGACAGTCTAATAAGATCCCAATTCTAGCCTTGATTAATTTATGCCTTATTTTAGCACATTGATTTAGGAGCTGGACCATATACGGCTCTACATACAATACATATGCTAAAACTACATATTAACACTTTAGCTGCTTAAACTACATATTCATTTTATATAAAGGAGTAAGCAAAAGCACAATAAAATGCATACAACATAAATGATTAATTAAATATCAGAAGTTCACATAAATCAAAGTTTACACATGCAAACTCCTTTAATTTTACTTTTTAAAGGTCTTCAAAATGAAACTTGAAAATATACTAAAATTTGGAATGTACTAAAATATATGAACATGTTACAGACATATTTCTAATACCAGAGCATGTCCACTTAATACCTCAAAACATTCCGTAAGGTATGAACTTAAATTTTCAATAATTTTAAAAATCTCCCAAAGGAGCAAAATTGTGCATTCCAACTGTCCTTGCAGAGCTGTAGTAGATTTAAGCAGGTAAAGTGTCAACATAGAACTTAGTGATATAGCAAAAGGCTAATGTCCTCTGTAAAAGGTTATTTGAATTCCTTTTAAAACCTGGAGACTGGAAGGTTCTTGGAGAAACAAAGATTTCTTCCAGAGCGCCATTGCGGGAGGAGGCATGGCAACTAGGCTCTCTGTGTTGTTTCCTTTGAATTATTTTTTATTTGGTACTTGATACCTTTCAATACTGCATATAAACTGTCATCATTTAGATTGATTCACAACTTACATCTAGCACCTTGGAGATTTCCTCAGTTCCACCAGGAATATTTTCAGTGGTTTTAAGTTTCAATTCTACTTCATTCAGCCACTTGTTTGCCTTCTCCAAGTAGGACAGTAACTCATGCCAACATGCCCAAACTTCCTAAGAAAGAAAGAAAGATCCCAGATAGAATATTTTCATAAAAAAGTGATGGTGAGAGTTCAGCATTTTCATTTTTAAGACTTGTAAAAATATAAGATATATTTTACATCTTTCACCTTTCCTTTGCAGTAGATAATTGAAAATGCGACTAGTCATTTTGATCACTTAATACATACATAATTACAAATCATTACAAAAATATTTTGTTACATGAATAAATTCAAGATTCAGTGATTTACTTTTTTAAATAAAGAAATAATTCATCAACATTATGTTAGGTTTATATATGCATTTTAAGCAAAGGAATAATAATAAAGGCACATTTCTAGATTGTGGTTATGTCTGTTGGGGTAAAAGTAGGAAAATGTCGTGGAGAGTAAGAATCGCATTAGCTTTGAGATTTCCCATTAGCTTTGAGATTATAAATATTGGGGAAACCTATGAAATACAATAGCACAATAACCACCACTGGCTACAGTACCCCTTCCCAACTTCTACCAAAAATGAAGGCTTGGAAGAAAGTTTTATTTCAGGAGAAACTGAAATTCTATCAGATTTCCCATATTGTCACCTTTGCCCCTAGCCCTTGCAAATGACAGAAGACATTTCCTCTCTAACTGATGAAAAGTATCAGGCTAACCTGCCTCATCAGTCTACCAATACTTGCTTCCTATTTTACGTCCAGTTTATCGCAAAAAGTGAAATTAAGTATTTTGCTTTAAAAGATGATAGAAATCTTAAATCTGGGTCATTTCCAGCTCCTGCTGGACTACAGGCTGTCTTCCTTCTGGGCAAAGATCCCAACAGGAAAATATAAATATCTCCTTAAATACCCAAGGGTATTTTAGAGCTTTGAAGATAAGGAGATGCAATTGGTAATGTGTCTTTTTAACTTTGGTGCAGATTGAGGTAATGAACTACCTTGCTGATTGAACCATCAGGATAGATGGCCTCTTGTGTCCTCAATGCATTTGAAGGACACAGCTGGAGAGGCTGAATGTAGCGGCTTTACAGGTCACCTTGGCAAAATAAAATATAGTCCTGCAGCTGGAATTGGAGCTAAAAGCCACTTAGAATAACAGTTAAGCTTAACAGTTTGGAACTTAAAATTACTTTGAAATCACAGAAATGAAATTGACTTTGAAGAGAGTACAAACAAAAAAGGGAACTTTTGTTCCAAACGGTAAATGGAGCTTATGTGATCATGTCCCACTCCTGCATCAGTCATATTGAAATGCTGAATAAAATATAAAGAAAAACATTTTAATGTCATGGCTTATCTATGAAACAAATATGAAAAATCCTCAGGTGGCAGAAACAAAGAGGGAGGTTAAGTGCACAGAGGATTTGAGAAAGCCATAATAATAATAATAATAATAATAATGGTGATAATAAGAATGCAAATGATAGCTTCTCACATTTACTGTGCACTAGGCTAAGTACTTTAAACGGAATTCCTCATTTAATTTTCTCAACACCCTATGAAACAGATACTATTTTTATGTTCATTTTACATACAGGTTAAGCGACTGGCCCAAAGTCCCGAATGATAAGTGCCTAAGGGAAGAACTACATATTCTTATAGCAGAGTCCATGTACTTAATTGTGACGTTCCGCATATTACCCATAAGTTGACACATAATCGACAAAAATCAAGAAAAGCGACTGACTTCCAAAGTCTTGCACTTCCCGTTCAGCCTGGTGCAGAGCCACTGGTAGTTGGTGGTCAGAGTGTCAAGTTCCTTTTTTAAGGCCTCTTGTGCTGCAGGTGGAGCTTGAGCTATGACGCCATTCACGGACTCCGTAAGCAGTTTCACTTTGGCTTCCTTTTGCTGGGCCTCTTCTTTAGCTCTCTGAAAAACCAAGAATGTCCTGTTAATAGCAAGAGAGGGCCTTTCCTTCCTTAACGCATTCCTATCTACTACATGCTTCCTTCCTCACGGTACCTCTATTAGAATGGGATTGATAAAAAGAAATCCAACAGGGACTCCAATCACTTCCACAGACTTAGGTTTAATTAAAATTGGGAACTTGAAAGAAAAAAATCACCATCAGAATGTGATAAATCTTTCAGCAGAATAGTTTGAAAAATAACCTGTATGTGGGTAAACATTTGTGGATATCTCTATCTTTATTTACATGAAACAAATGTTTCAAGACCAAGTTCAAAACTATCTCATGGCCTAGAATTGAAGTCACTTAAAAGTTACACAGATGGATAAATAATATTGAAATCAGCATGACTATTATTTAAAGCAAAAGATAATTAATATAGAAATGTCTTAATTCTATATTTTGGACCATGTTTTGATAAAATTCTGTTCAGTAACTGAAAATATGAACGACAAAGAGCAGCACCTGACCTGAGAGGGCTGGCCTGGGGACCCACAGCCCTGCCTTGGTCAGCCCGTGTCGAAGATAAACTATTTCAGAGCAGCCACATCAGACAAGGCCACTTTGTTAGCATCGCAGATCATGGTACCACCACCCCATAATCATGCCCGAATACAGAGAAGAAGAGAAAAATTGGCCAAAGCACAAAATGCCAACCACTGCCCTATCCTGGTTAATATCGGTTACCTCTGCGTCTCGGTCAACTGTGCCCCCAGCCTCACTCGAGTCTCCCCTCCTTCTAGGAAAAGGTTATGCAGGTGCCCAATGACAGTTACTCCCACTCACTGACAGCACGCAGTCCAAAGCAAAGCCCTTAAGCCGCCTCAAATCATCTACCCCAAACTCACATCCTACAACAGGCTCTTTCTAACACGCTCTTACACAGCCCCACGGTGTGCACACAGGTTCCCAATGGCGTGCGTTCTCCCTCTTTACCAAAAGTCCCAAACCCAACTTGTTCAACTACACAGGTATCACTGCTGGCCTTTGGCTGGAGGGAGAGTATTTACTTACTTACTCTCTCTCTCTCTCTCTCTCTCACACACACACACACACACACACACACACA